AACGGTTCTTGCATATTGTAGGGACGCATGTATGGACCACAAAACCATGTTTCGTTTTCGCTGAATGTTTTAATAGTACCAAAAAAGTGGTGAATATACCCTCAATGGTTCGATCCCCCGGCGACTAAATTTTGCATCAAGGTTGGCGGCACTTTTGGCTTCAAAATGGTCCTGACGATGAATATGACATCTGATTTTGACATTTAGCGCGATTTGGCACCAACCGTAGGCGCCAACCCAAATGCAAAATTTAGTCGCCACGGGGGATCGAACCATTAACAGTACCTTATGCTTCTTTTTTGGTACTGCTAAAACCGTTCAGCGAAAATGAAACATGGTTTTGTGTTCCCTACATGCGTCCCTACAATATGCAAGAAACCGTTTGAAAAAGCGCGGCCTGCCCTGAAAGACCTCCCCTGTGAGAGAACTCGGGTTGGGTGCATGGATTTCTCTACAATCTAGCTTCTACTCACTTGACATGATTCAACCTTCGACCTCGCTCGTTTACTTCTTACACCTCGTTTAAAGATAATTTTTCAATAGTCGCGCAAAAATATACTGTCTCACTACATATAAGAGCACGTATCAGACGACGAGTTAATCTAACAAAACCTATGTGAGACCAGCCAGAACAATCGAGAAAAGTGTTCAACTGAGTGTTCTAACAAGGAGAACAAGGAGGGTTTTTCAGGACATGGAGTGTTTTTTTTTTTCGAAATTGGTTTCTGCATATTGTAAGATGCTCATGCGAGAACACAGAACCATGATCCATTTTTCCTGAACGCCTCCAGGAATGTCAAAACAGCGGGGAAGAAATGGTCCAAGTTCGATCCTCCAGTGATGACAAATTTTTGCAATTTATGTTGGCTGCCTCCAAATTGCCGCAAACTACGACAATGACATCCAATCTCGACGCTTACGACCATTTGGCGCGACCTATTGCAAAATTAGTCATCACCGGGGATCGAACTCTGGACCATTTCCTCACACTGTTTTGACATTCCTGGAGGCGTTCAGGAAAAATGGATCATGGTTCTGTGTTCCTCGCATGAGCCCCTACAACATGCAGAAAACCATTTCGAAAAAGCGCTCCATGTCCTGAAAGACCTTTCTTGTTCAGTCACATCAGGTAGTGGTTTGAATACGTACATATTTGATGTCCACGGGCACTCTGAAAGCAGAGAGAAGACCAAGGTCTTGTTCATACAGGGGGGGGGGCAAAAAAAAGTCACTTTCATTCACATTCAAAGCAAAATTAATTACACTTTACCAGAACCAAACTGAATGAGCTTAATTGCGTATTGAAGAGCACATTCTATTCTACCAAAAAAGTTACATTGGGGCTTTCTACACACCAACGACATCAGGAGATTTTCCCACGGAAACTTGGTGCACGGTACGAGCTAACGGGGTCGTCGAGAAACCATAGACGATTACGACGTCTCTGAAACGCTGGTCAAAAGCCATTTTGCATAGTCAGAGCTAGTGTCCTAAGAAGCCATTCACCAGTTATCCGATTGAAGAAATTATGTAGCAGCTTCAGAATGGAGCGATTATGGTAGGCCTCCTTGAGCTCGACGGTGATGACAGATGACGTCATATTCTGGAGACGGTGAAGGCAGCGAAGGTGGGCCTGATTCTGCTTATGGGGGACATCTAAGGAATATTTCGCCGTATAACTCCCAATAACAGCGGCATCCTTTGCGACAGAAACTTTGATGATGTGCGCCATGGGCAAAGTGACTCTTTTTTTCCCCCCCCCCTGTAGCATGCATATGTAAAGCTTGCCAGAAACCGAATTAACCAGAGAACCTCAAGTAAACGAGACAGAAGGCTCAAGATGCTACTGCGAAAAAAGAATGATCTTCCAAGAAAGCGATGTTTGTGTCAACAAGAGAGAAGCACAAATATTGTTATGAATCAAAGATAATCGTGGAGCAATCGCTAGCTTCTGACCATGAAACGTCCAATCTCTTCACACCGGCTGCCGAAAGGTAACTTGCCGAATCATTTGAACCGCTTGAAATTTGACCGCTTTCATGTAGGTATGTTTTCAAGCGGAATTCCGTGAAGAAATTTTGCCAACAGTTCTTGTCAGCTGCTTCCGGAACCGACTCGTTCGATCTGAAAGTTCATTGGGTGCAATTCTGCAGGAGAATAGACCACGAGGTCTAAAGAAGTGGAAAAAAGGGACATGCACGTACAATGCATTTTCCATCTATCCAACTATTCAGTCAGTTTCATGCATGAACTTTTTCATCGCTACACTTGAACAGCTCTTAAAATATTCCAGTGAAAGGCAAAATGCTGTTGTCAATAATCTTATTCAATACGAGACCAAGGGCATTCCTAGATTTCACACTTTAAGCTTACTGATGTGCAACAGGTGCCCTCGTATAATTCGATAACACAAAAAGGTATGAAAGAAAAAGATATCCAGGAAATTGCGGAACTAACTGAAACAAGATAGAAAAACAGTTTTAATACAAGCGAGCGTATAAAGGAGCTTGACCACTGGGTCAACAGTCCGTTGGACAAAGTCCAACGAGGTGGTCGTGTTTGGCAGACCGAAAGGGGGAAAGGTCGTATTCTGCAAAGGTCAACGTCGCAATACGTAGGTGAGAGGCATAACTTTAGTGCTTCTCCAACTACTAACCACAAACGAGTGCATGGCGCACCTCAGAGCAGAAGAGTCTACTGCAGAAGTGTCCATATTTGACTGTTCACGTACACAAATATGCTCTCGAGGAGAACCAATGTCTTCAAACTGGACCTAAGTTAGTAAAAGAGTGACCACTTGGGTAGATTGACTGCTAAAGGCTTACAAGAAAAGTTTTGGGAAAAATATTTGCCTGTCGGCGACTTCCTGAAAAGGGTTTAGTATCTGTTATGAAGCACAAAGCTTGTGCGATGTCATGGTATCATTATTCCCCATAAAATTGAGTTTGAAGAGAGCTGTGAGTGTTTGAGTGTTGAAAACTCGTGTTTTCAGGAGAGTAGCTCCGAAAATTCATGAAAAAAAAAACGGTCCAACGGGACGATTTTTGAACGGGTCATTTTGGAAACGAGCTCAAGTATTCATTGGAAAGCTCTAACCTTCTAGTTTCTTCCAGGGGGACAAGAACTGCAAAAAGTTGAATCTGAAGAAAGTTATAACAGTTCAAAGCCAAAAAACCAGCGCTCTGCAAAAAATCGGTCCGCGATTTCCCCAAAACGGTCCAACGGGGCGATTTTTTGACTCCATCAATTTTGAAGAGTTCAAGTATTCGTTAGAAAGCTCTAACCTTCTAGTTTCCCAGGGGACAAGAATTGCAAAAGGTTGAATGAAGAAAGTTATAGTCATTGAAAGTGAAAAACCCGGTTGTGCACAAAAAACGGTGGGGCGATTTTTTGAAGAAATGAAACTTTACAAAAGTTAAAGTACTTTTTAAAGAGAAAACAATCTAGAGTTTCAAAATTTTCTTACCACTTCTCACACTTTCTTATTTGAAGAAAATTACAACCTTTCAAATGAAGAAGTGCGCATTTCTGTGGATTCTAATTCTCTACCCCATAACTAAAAGAGTTCTGGAGATACTGCAAAAACGTGGTAGTTTCCTGAAACTAGCAGTCTCTTTGATTACAAATCTATTTAGCGTTTTGAAAAATGAGTCTATTCCAGTTAGGGGGCATCATGATGCAGTTTCTCGGTTAACTCGAACATTCCAGCTTTTCACGCATGTCAAGTGACTGCCCTCAAACCCCACCTCCCTAGGCTGGCTACACTCCCCCTAGGGTCCACGATCGCGAAGGGTATTAACAGCCATACCTTCGTTCATTAAGTTGAGCCCTTTTCCACGGAGAAATGGAGACGTGCGATCTTGTAGCGCTCAAATAATCTTGGAACGCTCTTCATCAATCCGCTGAAGATGTTATTGCTCTGCTGGCTTACTCACCACACGGTGGTTTTGCTCACGGAAGGCCGCATTTCAGCACGGACTTTGTTCGGACTCCTTGTATAATTCGAGAGAAGACGCCCAATTCCTCCTAAATTTTGAAGGAAACGCAGTCTTTATTTACCTAAGCGACTCTTCTCTCCGCACTGACCAGGATTTTGCACATAGTCGCTTATGCAGTATGAGCCGGCCGACATGGGAGGAAATTCTGCTCCTATCCCACTTCAGTAAGTGCTCTAGCTTGAGCTTGTTACTGGGAAGAGAGGCGAAGTAACACGAGGTATGGTAAACTCGATGTCGACTGAGCTCACATATATCCCCGCTTCCCTGATTCCCTTCACGGATCATGAGAAATGGAAACTTTTTATGAGTGGCCCGATATTCATGAAACGGTGAAAATTCGTTCTGAAAAAGTTAATTGGGTTACTTGAGGGGGGAACTTTGTCAGAAAAACACTATGAAGGTTTTCCGTGATGAGGAATCTAACGGTGATAGCAGCATTTCCAAAAAATGCACAGCAACTTTGGGGTAGCAAAAATTTAGGGTGGACCTATAATTATGAAACGCAGTGTATACTCAATTGATCCTGACCGTTGCCTTCAAGAAGAACAAAACTTATGACACGAGTGAGATCTATGCCCTCTATGACGGTCGGTAAAGCTCAGTTCAGTTCCGATGCGACAAAGCTTATCAACGACTGGTCTTTTACACAACCTGTGTGCAAAGAAAAATGTCCTCTTTTGCAAATTGTAAAGTTAAATAAATTCTGTTTTCAGCTCCCATTAAAATATATTTTTCAATATACTTTAATCAATTAATACTAATCCTGTGAAAAGAAAAACGAAATCTGTACATAGCGAGCACAATCCCCATAAATAAGCCATCAATGCACTGAATACACAGAAGATTCAAACAATTACGCCATGTAAAATAATCCTTTCAAAAGGCAATCCATTGATTCATAAAAGCAAAACAACACTGAAATGTGATAGAAACCAATTAGTACAACACGTATACAGAAATGGTATGAATTGAAAAACCTATCCGAAGAACAAATATTATAATTTAACCAAGCTTATTCAGGATAAGTTTCCTTTCAATGACTCGAGATGAGTGATAAATCATAGAGTCGAGCATCTGAGCGACAGTGAATACGCCTCCAATAATAGCACATAGCGAGACCAGAAACGTAATCAAATGTCTAAAAGATGTTTTCTAATAAAATAGTACTCTAGGGAATAGATTTTTCGGAATATGTGAACATTGTAAAACGTACTGCCGCCTTTCTTCGTACCGCACCATAAGTGGACTGAATTCATACTGCACGACAAAACCCGGAATCCCACTCACACCTGAACTCACTTTATTTGCAGAAAAGTTGTTACAGTGCCAATTCCTTACATTCAAGTGATAATCAAGTCCTTAGACTCTGTAGCGTTCCATTTCTTCTGCATCATCTGAGGTCTAACTTGACATAAAAAACTTGAACGATTTTGAAGTCACCCCGCAAGAATTGCAAGGCCTGTGCGCGAACTCACGATGCACTTAGGATTTACTCTAGATCGGTAATTTAACGAATGCCGGATAAAAGATTTGCCGTTGATCAATCCCTTTTTGGGATGCGGCACGCATTCTACTTCCATTTGTACATTCGTAGTGGCGTTTGAATGCGATGTGGCCTATACAATGACTTGCGGGGGCCAGCCGATGTACAAGTCAGTGTTTTTATCCTCCCAGACAAGTCTGGTACCAATTAACCGACCCCGGAGGGATGGAAGGCTTGGTTGGCCCGGGCGACTCACGACCCAGGATTTGATCCCCGGACCGCTCGCGTGGTAAGCGTGCCACTTGCCACTACACCACTTCCGCCCGGAGAAAAGAATGCTCCACAAAAACGCGGAAGTTCAAGTATTTCCCATAAAAGCTTTCTTCCCACAAAGAATTTGCTTGGAGACTGCTCTAAACTCGAACTGCTATTCGGCGTACCGAATTCTGATTGGTCTTGAGCTCTCCTCTAAAAGGGTGCTGCTCATACTCGATGCTCAATTTGATCTCCAACGTTATTATGATGTTTCGGTCATTTCACTCTTCGAAGCAGTAGGCAATAAACGTTCTACCCTCGTGAAGAGTTCAGTTTACAGAAACACATGGATAGCAAAGCCATCAAAACTGAGCTCTCACCACAACATATAACAACCGCATTTAACTATTATATGGCGATCTACATGTCAATTATATGTTTTGGAAGAAACAGTTGAACATCAGGGAAACGCTGAAAATGACTCTTTACTCGGCATTACAACAGCGCCGACAACAATTCTGTCAACTACGGAAAGGTCCTGTTTGCAAAAAAGTAAAACCTTAGAAGCTGAACCAATTCCCTTGGACCGGTGACGCTAACCACCTATGTTGTATAGATGAAATAATACTGATTAAAAGTTATATGCAAACCTTAATTTTGAAAATTTAACTATTAATGAAGTTATTGGTTGTGAAGGTTGATGAGAGGCACCTTTCGATATATCCTTTTGATGAGTTGTTACTGAGAACTGATGGCTACTTTCCACACGACCATCCATGCGTACATAGCTTGTTGGCACAACTTTCACGTAGTAATTATGCATAATAGCACCTGAAAGTTGGAAGTCTTTCATTGTATGAAGCGCAAACTCGGTGAGACGGTTTGTATGTATTAACATCTGTCTCCCGGAAAGAGGTGCGCGTCGAGGCGAAATTCTCGTGAGAAGAAGATAGCATGTGTGCTTCGAGATGTTCTCGATTTGATGCTACGTCATTGCCGCGACAATTTCTACAATTGTCTTGCTCTAAGGCACTGGAGACAAAGTAAATGTTAGCATATAAGTCGGTTTGGTGCATTTATCTTTCGCCGCAAAATGAATTGAGTGATAAGGCAGCTGGACATAGGGAACCAACAAATTGCTTCCAGACAAGCGCCGTGACTTTCCTTTCCTCATACCTCATGGAGGTGACGCATATTCACAAAAGGTGTTGTTAATAGTATATAGCTTATTACATATGAAGTGTTATGATGACAGCACAGACTTCACGTTACTGAGAAGTGGTGTGGAGAAATGGTTTTTCTTCTCTTTCCCTTTTGTCCTCCTCCACTGCCCCACACGTAATTAATTTGCATGTCAAGTCAGTCCACACACTATGTGGAAATTGGCAAGCAACCAATTAGGCGTGTTATATTAGCCGTTGGGGCATGATCTCTGCATCGGCCAATGGCAAAACAGTTATAGCTCCGCCGGCGAGCTACTCGATTTTATGCGGCTGGTTTGTTCCTTCTGAGTCTTCCTTTATTCTGTTCGTTTTACGAGTAAGAATGGCTCTACCTGTTTCCGGCGCTCGCGGGTGCGGTCCGTGTAGTCACACAACGCAAGAATGCACAAAATGTAATTGTTTCTGCCAATGAAGTGATCAGCTAGTTGCAGTTGTATTCCATCAGTTGTCAGTAACAAGGGAGGTCTTTCAGGACATGGAGCGCTTTTTAGAAACGGTTTCCTGCATGTTGTGGGGCCTAATGCGAACACAGAACTGGAATCATTTTTCCTGAACGCCTCAGGAATGTCAAAGCATTGGAGAAGAAATGGTCCCTGAGTTCGATCCGGTGATGACTAATTTTTGCAATATAGTTTGGCGGCCCCAGATTGCGGCCAAATGGCTCCATCGTCGAGAATAGATGTAATTGTCGTGTTTTGCGGCATTTTGGAGGCCCCAAGATAAATTGCAAAAATTTGTCATGACGGAAATCGAACTTTGGACCATTTCTTCTCCCCTGTTTTGAGACTCCTTAAGGCGTTCAGGAAAGGAACCATGTTCGTATTCTCACCTAGATCTACCAAACTAGGGTAAGCATTTCATAACAACGCTCATGTCCTGAAGACTCTTTCCCCTGTAGGCAATACTGCACTATTCGACCAGCGGGGTGAGATGGGTCAAAAAATTTTTTTTAAAATGTTTCGCTGACTTCGGGTATGGGCAATTTATTCGCACGTGGTCCTCATCACGAATGAGGGATATCATTTATTAGCGACATGGCGCCAATTGGCGAACGAAACTTAGGAGCCAGGGGGCCAGGAGTGCTGCACTAATTCGTGTGAACTTCTAATATAGGTTTTTGGGGTCCTGATTACGAATATGACATTCGTTTTTGTTGTTGGCGCTATTCGCGCCTATTTCCTGCTCCTGCTCGCGCCCTCGCACTAATTAGATCGCAATCAGGACTAAGCCTTTGAATAGTGGAGGGCTCCAAAGTGAGTAGGCCACTCCCCTGTGGTCTAACACACTCCAACTTTTGCCACACGGTGCGTGGTTTACCCACTCCGGAGTTTCACTCCCCTCCCCTAAGCTTAGTCTTAGGCGCTATAGGTGAGAAAGCTTAGAAAAGCAGAAAATATGCGTTAAACAGCACGAATGTCAAAAACGAGTGTCATATTCGTGATCAGGGCCCCAAATAACCCCTATACAGAAGTTTACAGCGAATTTGGTGATAATCAGTTGTGGCGCCAGCTGGCGCCAAAAATGGATGTCATATTCGTGATCAGGACCCTCGATAACCCCCATAGCCGAAGTTTCAGCGAAAATTATTTTTTGACCCATCTCGGCCCCCACTGGGGTTGTAATAGTGCAATGTGCCGTCAATAATTACAACTATGCTTACCAAATACCTTGTCACTTGCGTTGTGCGGTCTGTACTCGACGCGCACCTGGCTGCCGGAGATACAGTATACATGCTCACATACATATAGACACACATGCAAACCGACACGCCAAAGCTAGTTATACACGCCACGGTTTACATAATCGAAGGATTGGGATCATTGACGAACTAATGGAAAGGGTTAAGCTAACCGCTACAAGACTGAGGAGCTGGCAGGTCTTGCGATATCAAGGTTTTCTATGGCATAAGTGTTTTAACTCCCCTGCGCCAATACGGCCATATACCCTCTAGTTCATAAAGCCAGAAACACAAACCACAAGCGGCGACGTCTTCCAAGTAAATCTGGTAACCAGTGATTCATAGTGATTGCAGATAGTTGGCAAATGAGTTACTATTGACGATAACTGATAAATACGACTACTATCAGCCACTCGTTGCGTTTGGCAGAAAACGTTCACATTTAATGAAGGCCGTCGTCACTTGCGTTATGTGGAGAGGAGGGAAAGAGAGTGTGTTACTTCGCTACTAGTCACCTTGCCCTTAGCAGTCACTTCACAAGAGATCGAATTTTCCGGATTTACCCATTCTCTTACCTTAACTTTCACATTCCAACAGTATCAGCTTATCACGAAAACTGCTTTTAATCAAAATCAAACACAACGAACTGTTCAATGTGTAAAACATAAGGTGAAATGAGATCTTGTGCGAATGCGCTACATTAAAACCTTGCGAAATTGTGCCCATCGACAGAAAAGGAAGACTCGGTCGTCTCATGGGTGCAGCATGGTGGGTGGTTAGCGTTCTAAGGGGGGGGGGAGAGGAATAGTAAAATCAAGCGTTACCCAATGCTGTTTACTACAATCGAACAGCAATTTCCCTCTTCTTTTTCACTAAGCAATTGGCAGGTT